CCCGCAGAGCCTGGGCTGTGCGCACCCTCGCCAGCGCCTCTCCGCCTTCCGACCCTGGTCCCCTGCCGTCTCTGCCAGTGACAAGGAGCTCTCCCCCCACCTCCCAGCCCTGATTCGAGACAGGTAAGGGGCCGGCTGCTCAGCGGCCAGCGGTCCCCGCAGGCCTGGGCACCGCTGGACTCTGCAGCCTCCGAGTCAGTGGTCAGCTCCCTACTGAGCTGCCCGCCAGGGACGACCTCAGGCAGCTGCCTGTGAGGCAGGGTGTGCTCCCACCTGCGTGCGTGGCCTGTGCTGGCCTGTGTGCAGCCCTGTCACACGCTACCTGAGCCTCCGTGGGCTGGGGCAGTGGGGCCCGCCTTAGGCTTTTTTGTTGTTATTTGCTCACCCAAGGGTATTTTTCCCATTGATTTTTAGAGAGTGAAAGGGAGTGGGCAAGGGGACATCCATGTGAGAGACACATCGATTGTTTGTCTCCTTCCTGCACGTGCCCTGGGGCTGGGGATCGAACCTGCAACCGAGCTACATGCCTTTGACTGGGAATCGAACCTGTGACCCTTTGGTCCACAGGCTGACACTCTAACCACTGAGCGAACCAGCCAGGGCCCGCCTCTCGTTTGAGTGACCCTGGGCGTCTGTGCCTGGCGTGTGGTGGTTGTAGGCTTCCTGATGCCCAGGCCCCGGCTGTCCAGCCATTGCCAGTTGGCCGTTGTGATGGGCGTCAGGTCGAGCTGGTCTGGAACTTCCTGTGGAGTCAGGGTTGGCTGCAGCCGTGGCAGCCAGTGTTGGTTTCAGCCCCCGGGCCCTGCTGGCGTCTCCCTCACACCTTCCGTGCTGGGCACTCGCCTGCTGGCCGGCGCTGACAGCCCCCACCCCATGCCTCCGCCCCTGCAGCTTTTACTCCTACAAGAGCTTCGAGACCGGTGTGGCCCCCAACGTGGCCCTGGCCCCGCCGGCCCAGCAGAAGGTGGTGAGCAGCCCGCCATGTGCCACCATCGTCTCCCGGGCCCCCGAGCCCCTCGCCACCTGCATCCAGCCGCGGAAGCGGAAGTTGGCCGTGGACACGCCTGGGCCCACAGAGACGCAGGCGCCCACAGTCACCCCGGAGGACGACAAGGACTCAGAGGCAGAGGTGGAGGTGGAGAGCAGAGAGGAATGTACGTGTGAGCCGCCTGCTGCCCCAGCAGCCAGTCCCTCTCCCTG